TGGCTGGGGCAGGGCTGCCGTGTCCAGGGGCCGAGGCCAGCTCTGGGGGGCGGGGGCGGGTGGCTGGGGCAGGGCTGCCGTGTCCAGGGGCCGAGCTCTGCGGGGCCGTGAGCCGGCCCTGCCTTCTGCTTCCTTCCTAGATGCAGCCGCCTGTCCCGGGAGCCTGGACTGTGCCCTGAAGAGGCGGGCACGGTGCCCCCCTGGTGCCCATGCCTGTGGGCCCTGCCTTCAGCCCTTCCAGGAGGACCAGCACGGGGTCTGTGTGCCCAGGACACGCCGGCCTCTGGGTATGAGAGCATAGTGGGAGGTCGATGGGGGGTTGCCCCGAGTGCGTCTCTCCCGGAGGAAGCCTGCAGCTGGCCAGGCTGGGCGGCTCACACCTGTAATCCCAGCACTTTGGGAGGCTGAGGTGGGTGGATCTCTTGAGGTCAGGAATTCAAGACCAGCCTGGCCAACATGGTGAAACCCCATCTCTACTAAAAATACAAAACATCGGAGTGTGGTGGTGGGCGCCTGTAATCCCAGCTACTAGGGAAGCTGAGGCAGGAGAATCACTTGAACCTAGGAGGCGGAGGCTGCAGTGAGCTGAGATCACACCACTGCACTCCCGCCTGGGTGACAGAAGAAGACTATTTCAACAACAACAAAAAAATGAAGCCTGCAGCCGTGGCACCGAGGCCTGTGCTAGTGGCCCCAGGGCCCCTGAGCCTTGCGGGGTGCTGTGTCCAAGGCCTGGGGGACCCTCATGTCACTCTCCATGAAACCTCCCATCCTTCCCAGATGGAGCTGGACCCAGGCCTGGGGCCGTCAGGCCCTCCCAGGGGAAGGGCTGCCCAGTGTGACATGCTGGGGTGACCATGGGGAAGGAGGGGTCCGAGCTCCCCAGGCCTGGGCGCTGCAGGGTCTGCCCAGAAGCCCTTCAGCCTCCACTTCCCCACCATGGGCAGCTTGCAGTGTTTACCTTTGGGGAGCAGTGCTCCTCGCCGGAAGCACCTTACCGTCACCATGGCTATCTGGGAGGGAGAGGGTCCCCAGGCTGGTGCCCAGTCCTCGGGCGCCCCAGGGGGGACCTGCGAGGCCAGGCCTGGGGCTGCCTCCTGGATGGGCCCCTTCACCTGATGGCCCTCACCCTCCCCAGGTCGGGGCCAGTCCCAGCCCAGGCTGGAAGATGAGATTGACTTCCTGGCCCAGGAGCTCGCCCGGAAGGAGTCGGGATACTCAACTCCGCCCCTGCCTGAGGCCCGACAGCGGCTCCTGGAGCCTGGTGAGACCCCTGCGGCCCCTGCCCCGTGGCCCGGCCCCAGCCCCACGGCCCGGCCTCTGCCCCGTGGCCTGGCCCCTGCCCCTGCCCCACGGCCCGGCCCCAGCCCCTGCCCCGCGGCCCGGCCCCTGCCCGGTGCTGTCCTCTCTAACGCCTCCTCTCTCGCAGCCACCCTGGGCTTCTCAGCACGGGGGCAGGGGCTGGAGCTGGGCCTCCCCTCAACTCCGGGAGCCCCCACGCCCCCGCCCCACACCTCCCTGGGCTCCCCCGTGTCCTCCGAGCCGGTGCACATGTCACCGCTGGAGCCCCGGGGTGGGCATGGCGACGGCCTTGCCCTCGGTAGGTCTTGGCTGGGGGCGGGCAGGGGTGGCAGGGGCGGCAGGCCCCCCCATAGGAGGCCGCCCTCACACGCCCCTCCCACAGTGCTGATCCTGGCGTTCTGTGTGGCCGGTGCGGCCGCCCTCTCCGTGGCCTCCGTCTGCTGGTGCAGGTGAGCCAGCGGCCACAGGCTGGGCAGGGAGGGCGCCACACCCCCAGAGGCCTCAGGCCCTGCTCCCCACAGGCTGCAGCGTGAGATCCGCCTGACCCAGAAGGCTGACTATGCGACTGCGAAGGGCCCCGGCTCGGCAGCAGCACCCCGGACCTCGGTGGGTGCCCCTTCAGCCCTGAGGCTGCCACCCCACCCTGGCCACCGCCTGACCCTCGCCCCTGCCTTCTCACAGCCTGGGGACCAGCGGCTGGCACACAGCGCGGAGATGTACCACTACCAGCACCAGCGCCAGCAGATGCTGTGCCTGGAACGGTGAGCAGCAGCCCCAGCCCCGACACCGCCCCCACCTCCCCACCCACTCCCCGTACCCCCTATCCCCCCAACCCCCACCTCCCCAAGTGCTGGGCCCCTTGGGGGCAGCCTGAACCCT